AATCAACAATAAGGAAAAAAGGAGACAGAGAATAGATTAGAATGAAAGAAACACAGAGAAAAGCAGATATGACATGAAGCCTGGGCAAAGCAAGAGCCTGAGCTAAAACACAAGACTCAAAAGAGAACTCGAGAGAGGCAGTGAGAGGAGAGAAAAGTGAGAAATAGAGAGAGAGAGAAAGCACAGCAATGAGAAAAAGAGAGATGGGCCCACTAGCGGAGGCTGCGTCACCTGGGAAGGAAGGAGAGGAAGGGCCTTGAGGGGCACAAGGAGAGACAGAGCCCATCCTTAGGAGCAGATGGGCAGTGGGGTGGGAGCCAGGCCAGTCAGTGGGGATCCCGCCAGAAAGAGAGGTGGAGCCCAGGCTGGAGCAGCAAGGCCAGCAGGGGAAGGCTCCGCAACAGCTGGGGGCCATGAACTGTGGGTGCACCCAGCCTGCACAGGCACCTACATGAATGTGCTTTGTGAGTGTGTGCTGTGGGCATGCCCAACCTGCACAGGCATCTGGATGAGTGTGCTTTGTGAGTGTGTGTTGTGGGTGCGACCAGCCTGCTCGGGCACCTGAGTGTGCTTTGTGAGTATGTGCTTCCAGCTGGCACAGGCTTCTGGACAAGTGTGCTTTGTGAGCGTGTGCTGTGGGCATGCCCAGCCTTCATAGGCACCTGGACAAGTGTGCTTCGTGTGTGGCTTGAGCAGGCACCTGCACAAGTGTGCTTTGTGAATGTGTGCTGTGGGCATGCCCAGCCTGCACAGGCATCTGAGTGTGTTTTGTGAGTGTGTGTTGTGGGTGCACCTAGCCTGCACAGGCACCAGGATGAGTGTGCTTTGTGAGTGTTTGCTGTGGGTGCGCCCAGCCTGCACAGGCATCTGGACGAGTGTGCTTTGTGAGTGTGTTGTGGGTGTGCCCAGCCTGCACAGGCATCTATCTGACTGTGTTTTGTGTGTATTGTGGGTGTGCCTAGCCTGCACAGGCACCAGGATGAGTGTACTTTGTGAGTGTTTGCTGTGGGTGGGCCCAGCCTGTATTGGCACCTGCACGAGTGTGCTTTGTGAGTGTGTGTTGTG